GCTTCATGAAGAATATTGATGGATCCGCTTTAACGGTTCATTATTGCCTCTAAGAAATCTGCATCTTCAATGGCATCGGTGTTAACATCTTTGAGTTTCATTAACATCGGACGTAGAATTATGAGTTTGATTGACATCGGCATATCATGATGGGTTTCATTGATATCTCGGCATAGCATCACATTCATTGAGATATGGCATTGGACCCTCCACATTGATGTTACTTGCGGTGTTGTCATTGTCCGCATATAAGGTGTAGAACTACCCTCACCATGTTTTGTCCAAATCAAGTAGTCCTCCACAAATCCTCCGCAAACCGGATGAGAAGTGATTGCTTCCACATTGTCAAATACCACAATATTTTTATAGTCTGCGCATGGACAACATATGTGCTTCGCCTTTGTTCTCTCGAGCATGTATCTTCACAGCATCAATAAATTTTGGACCTCCACTACATAAGATGGGTCTAATCTTGATAAGTTGTACATCCATAATGACCTCTCCATATTTATACGTAATTAGTTAGGAAAATATTGTATGTCACTCTAAAAACAAAACAAAAATAACCCCTCATAACTAAGATTCTATCCTCCATCAATTAAATAGATATGAAAACCTACCTCTTACAGAATTTACAAAATAAAAAATTTAAATAATTATTTAAACTCATTTTTATAATTATAAGAATTAATTAAACGGAGATGGCATCTTGATTAACAAACCCTAAGTATAAGCAAAAATAACAAACCCTAATTAACAAACCCTAAGTACATGAAATACTAACTAACCCTAATTAATAAACCATTAATTACTAACTAAATTAATTAACTAACCCTAAGTACATGAAATATCTAACCCTAAATAATAAACCATCAATTACTAACAAAAATTATTGAAAAACCTAAGGTACATGAAATAATAACTAACCCAATTTAACAAACCCTAAGTATAGACAATAATAACTAACCCTAATTAACAAAACATTAACTACTAAATTAATTCATAAACCCTAAGTACGTAGATTAAAAAACTAAATTAATTCACAGTTTATAATTACAGGAAATAAGTATAACAATTGACAAGACTTTATAAAGTGTTAATCATTATTCTATTACATAGATCTACTCACAAGAATTCTAAAAAGTATTTATTTTCTATAATCCGAGCAAGATACAATTTACTATGAATTTACAAAAAAAATAGCTAAAACTCTCTCTCTTGCCCTAGCTATGAACCCTAACCCTAACCCTAGATTTAGAGCACCTCCAATACAAGAATTGAACCAAAGAATCACTAAAAAAATGACGGCAACGACACTAACTAACCTTTTGGAAGTTTCTCACCAAAGAAATGAAGTTCAAAACCTCCCCCCTTGGAATCGCCACTTCTCTGTCCGCCACTGTGCACACAGCACGCGAGTAACTGTTCTTGTCTGTAGGTGAACGAAGGGAATTTATAGCAGCATTAACACAGCATTAACACAGGCGGTTGGTAAGGAGGACCGCCTGTGTAAAACAATTTACACAGACGGCTCTCCTATCTCTACCGCCTGTGTAAATACCTGTATTTACACAGGCGGTTTATAATGTCAGTCGCCTGTGTAAATGGTATTTACACAGGCGGTTGTCATTGTAAACCGCCTGTGTAAGTATTTACACAGGCGGTAGAGATAGGAGAGCCGCCTGTGTAAATTGTTTTACGCAGGCGGTTCTTTTGCTGGGCCCACCCTATTTTTTGTACTGGCGTCATGAAATTGTGAACCGCCTGTGAAAAAAAACAACGTGCCAGCAAAAATGATTTCTGTAGTAGTGCTAGTATATAAGTTTTCTTACTCAAGTATATTTTCATGACTGCTGTTCAAGCTTACCCAAATGAATATGATAGGCCCAACTGGGGACAGATAAGCTTTCTGTAGATATTTTAAGACCAACTCCTAGAGCTAGCGGCGGTTGCAATGACCTTAGACTCCACGTCCATATAAAACTACAATATTAGGGGTGATAGGGCTATTTTCTTGCTCCAATTTATTACCCCAAGTAATCCCTTTTCCGTGGCCACCAAAAACACTGTACCTTTCTCCCCTCAATGGAGTAGCATCTCCCCCATATAGCATAGGCCTCATAATAGTTTCTTTTTCTTCCCTGCTCATCGTGAGCCATGGCCGCCGCCTCCATTGTCCAAGCACCGCAGTCTGCGGCTGTGCCGTTGAGCTGAGCCTAGAGACATGACTCTGGTTCCCGTCGGACATCGCCAGTCCATGCCTGTGTAAAACCGAGGATGAGCGAGTTGGACCGCGACATGTTGAGCTACTGAATCAAGCGTTGGTAAGCTACCATCATCATAAAAGATCCTATACCACCAGAATCGATGTCGAGGGCGACCGACCTCTATTGTTGGACAACACTACTAAAAAAATAATTTATAGCAACGTCCCCTTCTTCTTTTTTTTAGGAACAACTCTGTATTAAGCCGTTCTTACAAATCCATTTCTAACGGCGGCTGGTGTTATCAGCCGTCCCTATAAATAGCTCGATTTGTAGGGATGGCTCTATATCCAGCCGCCCATACAAATCAGATTTGTAGGGCAAATAGACATAGACGCCGAATAGTAAAAATTAAGCACTAAACTTAGAATTTTTTTCAAACGACCTGGAATTAAGAAATGAACAAAATAAAAGTTGTAGATCTTAAAAAGTTATGAAACTTTACTATTTACAACTATTTTATTTTAAATCATTTACCGCTTCAAAATGCTGCTTGAAATTCATATTTGAAATTATCGAAGAACTCTGATTTCTCTTTTTAATCCCTGGCTAAAACTTGTTACTAGTCTTTCTTCCTCATATTAACTTCAAATTTGATGATTTTTTTTCCAAAATTTTTCTAAAATCATGCTCTATCAATTTATTGTGTTCTTACAACTATTATTTTGTCCATCTTTTCAAAAAAAACTGTGTTTTATCCATTTGAATTTTGAATTTCAAAAAATAGCAACTTCAAACGTCATTTTGAAACATTAAATGATTTCAGCTAAAAAAGTCACAAACATAATAGTTGTAGAACTCATCAAAATCTATAACTTTTATTTTGATCATTTCTTCATTCGACAAAGTGGTAGTAACATTGTTCACAAAATTTACATATCTATAGGATATGTAAAAATTTTAAACAATGTTACTACCACTACGTCGGATGACTAAATGACCAAAATAATGTTATAGATCTCGAAAAGTTATGAAACTTTGTAGTTGACAACTTTTTTATTTGAATTCATTTTGTTAAGAAAAACTATGTTTGAATTTCTCAAATTTGAAATTTGGATTTTTGAAATGATTTCGGATGGAGAAACAACCAAAAAGAAAGATGGAGATCCCGAAAAGTTATGAAAATTTATAGTTGACAACTTTTTGATTTGAAATCATCTTGTCAAGGAAAACTACGTTTGAATTTCTAAAAAATTAAAATTTGAATTTTTAAACGACCTCGGATGGACAAACAAAAAAAAATGAAAGTTGTAGATCTCGAAAAGTTATGAAACTTTGTAGTTGACAACTTTTTTATTTAAAATCATCTTGTTAATAAAAACTACGTTTGAATTTCACAAATTTGAAATTTAAATTTTGTAAATGACCTCGGATGGAGAAACTACCAAAATAAAAGGTTTAGATCTCGAAAAGTTATAAAACTTTTTAGTTGACAACTTTTTTATTGGAATTCGTTTAGGACCTCAAACAATCAATTTAAACTCAGTTTAGAATAATACGTGGGAAACCAAAATTCAATATAGATACAAGTAAGTGTGAGGTGCAGTGGTAGAGAAGGTTACGCGCGAGGGGTAGGGTACGGATTCGAGTCGGGAAGCACGCGATTTTCATGCGCAAAATGTCGTGACTTGCGGCTTCGACGGAGCGGGCGGGGTGGCTGGCCGGTGGGGGTCTCTCTGGATTAAAAAAATCCTACTTTTTTTTGCCCTAGATACATGAATTTTTAGAAACGGATTTATAGGGGCGGCTATCCACAGCGTCCCTATAAATTCATAATTTGTAGCAACAGGATGATATGGGCGGTTGACCAAACGGTCCCTGTAAACCCATTTGAGCCGCTCCTACGACTCTTTAGTGTAGTAGTGCAAGATCGGATGATTATGCTCTCTACTTGTAGCTGCGTCATCGGGAATCAAGGACTTCCATCGAGGGCTCAAAGGAGAGGTGCAGCTTGCAAGTGAAGGGAGGCAATGCTAATTAACGAAGACTGAGGAGGGGTGTCCAACGGTCTAACAGCCAGCATATGCGGGCTGGATCTCCTTGCTGAGAACTTCGTCATGGGTTGATCATCTTCAACTTGTCTTTATTTCTCATCGCCTTTACTATGACTAGCGATGGTTAATTTGTTTGGGTTTTTGTGTTGCCCCTGAATCTGAGTGTTACCAGAATTTTCCTAGGTTATACTGCTGTTTTTCCTGTAAGCGAACGCCAGATCCATTGGTCTGTCTGAGCGCTTTGCATCTTGCCGGCCAGAGTTTGAACTCCCTCGGGAGCATATTTGTTGGCCGGATGAGACGCAATTTATCTACACATTGAAAAAAAATCCCCTCGTCTGTCCCACGCCAAAGCACAGGTCTAAAGCCAGCCCAGTCTCACGGGAGCTATGGTGCTGCTGTGTATAAGTGGGGGACAGAGGTTCGGGGTTTTCTCAACATGCTTGAGAAGGTCTTCTTCTTAAGCACAATGTTCGGAGCTGTCTTACCCCGCGGATCGAGTTTTTTTTTATATACTGCTGTTTTTCTGTAGGTTGAGACTGTCAAGGGAAACATTTTTAAACAGAAACATAACTTGAGCCTAGTGTGCCTGTAACTGTAACTGTAACTGAACTGTAATCCCCAGGCAAGTGAATTTTACTTGAACACGAACAGAGCATTGTAGCACAGCTTATACTATTCGTAACGAGGTACAAGACGTACAGTTCCAAAAGTTGAGTGTAGCGGAAGCTGACGGTGCAGAATGGCTGAAATATTCGGGAGCAGAGCTGTCGAGAACCCAGTGTGGCTGTGTGGGCCGGGAGGGAACGCCCGTCGAGCGTCGATAGTGTTTTTCTTCTTCTTTTCAAGCGGGACCTCAGTTGCACGTGAAGCAAGGCGACAACCAAATACAGCAGCCAGCAGCTTTGCGCAGTCTTGTCCATATCCATGGAGCCATCTCGCACACCGGGCGGCACAACCGCACAGCCATGCTATATCTTCTCCTCTTCCTCAGCCGTCCGTCTCCATCGTCAAGGGTGCCGGAGCACCGGAGCAGCTAGGGGATACGGCGGCGCCGGCAATGGCAGCGACCAGAGCATCACCGTTGCTTCTCTTGCTGCTCATCATCCAGCTAAACATGCTCTTCCACCTCCCCGACTCCTCCTCCCCCATCACCGCCCTCGCGCAACCAGCTGATGAGCAACAGCAGAACACCAAGCAGCATCGCCAGCCCGCGCTGGTGCAGTGGACGTGCAACTCCACGAGCTTCTACGACGTCTGCATCGCCGCGCTCGCCGCGGACCCGTCCAGCTCCACGGCCGACGTCCCGGGCCTCTGCGCCATCGCCGTCTCCGCCGCGGCCGCCAACGCCTCCGGCACCGCGGCCTTCCTCGGCAACGCCAGCGACGCCGCGGCCACGCCCGAGGCGGACCGTGCGCTGCTCCGCACCTGCGCCGGCAAGTACGCCGCCGCGCGCGACGCGCTCCTGCAGGCGCGGGCGTCCCTCGCCGAGCAGGCCTACGACTACGCCTTCGTGCACGTCAGCGCCGCCGACGAGTACCCCGCCGTGTGCCGGACGCTGTTCCGGCGCCGCCAGCAGAAGCAGCGGGCGAGCAGGCCGTACCCGCCGGAGCTGGCCAAGAGAGAGGAGGCGCTGCGCCGCCTCTGCACCATCGCCCTCGACATCATCTCCCTGCTGCAAAATCAGGAGCCCCAGTAATGTAATTGTCAGTCGGTTAGTGTCGATGTTCATGCATAAGAGTACGTAGTGAAATGGACCAATGATCATTGATCAAGCATGCATGTCATGAGTCGTGCTCGTGCAATGCAGTGCCGACACGAATACGACATGAATAGCTGTCCGCGGAATGAAAAAGGTTGCTCACGGACTGTTTTTTGCGGACGGGCATTGGCACAATTTGTCTCTACCTCTTGGACTCAACCACCTCCTCCCTCCTCACTCCTCCCTCGGTGCAGCACATCTTTTTCTTTTTACCCGAAAGCACAATGATGCTTTGCTTGCATCATCAGGAAGAAATCACTTGTGAGGATCCAATGAATACCTAAGAATCTCCGGCAAGCATGACTGAGAGAGTAGCTAAAGAACAGATGGAAAGCCGTCTCTTCAATGTTGTTATTGCATAGGACATAATTGTAGTCGGTGCACATCTCGTTTTATATTTTGAGTAGTAATTTAAAAATGCCCGTTGCAAGGTAACCAATACATCTTGAAATCAGAAGTATTATCGCTAGATGCAATTTGTTCTAACTCATATGATCATGGATCATGAGTCGGAGCCACGTACAAGACACGAAACATGCGAGGGCAGTTTTTTTAGAATAAAGAAAGACATGATAAAAGAATTTTTTCATTCTTTAATATTAGGTATATATATAGATTACTTTTTTCTTTAATATAATATAATACTACTAGCCAACATACCTACGCTTTACAACAGAACCAACAGTTTAGTCATAATACGTTTTGGAATGGAACTCTCTATCGTGGTTTTGTTGGTCAACGAATAATTATAATATATAACACAAGTATCTACTAGCAAATAAACATCACAAAAAGTCCATAAAATATTTAAACAATTTCAATGTAGACACCGTAGGGTAAAGCATGATTTTAGAAAAAAAATTGGAACTTGTTTAATAATTTTCTAAGATAAACCATTTTTTTGTGATTTTCCTCATATTATACTAAATTATAGGATTTTTAATCGCATAAATTCTACAGGAAAACTATTTGATAATTTTTCAAAAAAATATAGTCCGATTTATACCACCTAAAGTATCAAGTTTAATTTATCCCATCGCAGCTGACATAGTGTGGTTGACGTATTCTACAGGAAAAATATTTGATAAATTAAAAAAAACATTTATAGTCCAATTTACCACCTAAACTATCAATTTTAATTTATCCCCTCGCGGATGACGTAGTGTGGTTGACGTGGCATTACGTTACACAAAGCCGCAATCCAAAAACAGTCATGAGAAATGGCTTTAAAATTTAAGAAGCTTAAAAACTAGGTTTTTATAAATGAGGTACAAAGTTTAGACTACCGTAATAGCAGAGAGATATTAAAGGAGAGTGTTAAATGGACTTTTTTTCTAGAGAATACAATTTTTTAAGAAAAAAATTCTATCTGATCTCCCTCAGGTACTATGCAAGTCTAATTTGCCTCCCTCAATTAGAAAATCGGCAAAATCCTGATCTATTATTAGAATTTATTAGAAAATTTATTTTGATTTAGAAATATATTTTTTAAAACATGCTCGATGTTTTTGTTCCTTGCTTAAAATTGTTTCCTTTTTTATTAATAAAATTACTCATATCTCAACGGAGGCCCAGTCCAACTGCGAATCAAGAGAGCAATTTTGACCGAAGTACCCCATCCCATGGCCTACATAGTCTAAAAAGGCCCGCTCTTGCTCTATTCTATGGGCCAGACCCAATGATGCAGTGCCTATAAGCAAGAAGGGCCCACTAAAGGGCAGTTGAAGCTGGGCCTAGCAGGCTAGCAGCTAGCACGTGGTGGTGACGGCGACGGTGGGGGGAGACTGAGCGGCCGAGGAGGCGGCGCGGCATCTGTGCATCGCTCATCGCGCATCGCGCATCGCGGCGGCCCGAGGCCGCGAGCAGCACAGCAGGGCGCGCCAGGCGCCGGCGCGGCACGCGGTACCGCGCGACGGGCGAGCGCGCGGCCGGTCTCAGCGCCACGACGCATCAAAGCCGGCGCTAGACAGGGCGCTATCGCACTGCTGCGCAGCTGTGCCTGCGCTGGGCCCTGGAGGATTGGTGACAGCACTCGCCAATTTGTGTTTTGCAGAAATGGGAGAAATCAAGTAAGTACATATAAATGCGGTTCCATTTCACTGATTCAGTTAGCCCCTATTTTGATTCACAGTTTCCAGTTGTAGATAAAAAATGCAGATTGTTTAGCATCATTCTCTGCAAGACTATAATTCGTTATGTAGATTGCAGATTGTTATTTATCGTACTGCCTGTTAATCATGCTCTAGTGAAGATTAATTGGTGTCCCGCATCATCTATTGATTTGTCATGGACAAATCACATATTTTACCTCTCCGAGCATGTATTCTGGATTGTTCAGCTATGTTTTCATGTGAAACTGCTTTAAATTCCTATGTGGGTCTTGTATGGGACATTTGAACTCAGGTGGGCCCATGACTACCCTATCCTCTCCTCCATAGCTGTCGCAAGTTCTATCTCCGCCTCATCCGTGGACGGTGCTGCTTTGGCTTAAGGCAAGCAGAACCTCTCCCGAATCTACCATTGCTTAGTTTTAGCCATTAGCCCGTTAGGGTAAGGGTTTGTTGTTTCTAGACCAAGTTAGCGAGTCCACTGGTGGATTGGGAGCATATCAACCTTTTTTTTTTTCTTATTACCCAACCACTACATATGAGGACTTTGTCTGATCAAATTTGCTTTTGTTCCCGTTTCACCTAATCATATGAGGACTTTGGAGGAAAAAGCTGGGATATTATTTTTCGCATGTTACGGGGTGCTTGCAGTAAAGGTGGTTAGATTACTTCGGAACAAGTAGTTCAATTTTGATAAGCATTGGGTTCTCTCAAGTTATGGGCCTCAATCAATTCTGATAAGTGTTGGAGCACAAGTTCTGTTCTGTTCAAGTTAAGGGCAACTTACTTCAAAATGGCAAACAAATGAAAAAGAAATATAAAATAAAACAAGTTCTGTTCTATTTGCGAAAGTTCTAATTATATGCTATATGTACAAACAACTTCACAACTGGCCAGGAAGCTTCAAAGGTTGGCAATGGAGATGAGGGCCCGGGAATCTGTAAGCACGTCAAAGGACCTAACTGGGGAAATCGCACCTTATGCCACCGCCCTACATGATGTGTTCCTCCAGTCCCATTGCTCATCGTGCTTCACCAAGTTACTGCCACAGCCCCCCTGTGTAGTTTCTTGCACGATTTGCTGTTCTCTTCGATACTGCTGTTCAGAGTGCTTTGGTGCAGATTCAGCAGTGCATTTTTCTTCTGGTGAATGTTGCTTCTTTGTGGACCACCTCAAGAGAGCCTCCCCTTCCTATGTTAGTGAAGGAACCAGTGATTTGCGTGCTGCCCTCCGCCTTCTTTATGTGCTTGAGATGCATGGTCTTGCTTCGTCTGATTCAATCGATAAGTACAGTAGAATTGGTGGACTTTCAGCAAGTGGTATTGAGAAAGTTTTGGAGGAAGGTGAGGTTATTGCTGAGAGGATACTGGAGGGGAGCTTATTGATGTCATCTGCCAGAAAATCAAGGGCACAGACTTCTTTTATTTTTTCCGATAGGCTTAAACTTGAGAAGATGGCATTATGGGCAGTGATTATCAATAGTGTTGAGGTGCAACTTAGTGAAGGATTAGCTATGGGAGTTGCAGTGTATGGCCCAAGCTTCTCATGGTTCAACCATAGTTGCTTTCCCAGTGCTTCTTACCGGTTTGTACTGGCTCCAAGGAATGAAGACTATGCTTCACAGAAATCAAAATCCTGTGTAGTCCCTGCTAGCAAAGGAGTTGCAGCTGATGTGGTAAAGGAAAATAATGACCATTTTGTTTAGGACCTACTAAACTTTTGCTTGTATCAATTCATATAAAGAGTAAGATAAAATATTTGAATACTGTTCACAACATACTTTCATTATCATAAACAAGTGTTATTTGAATGTTTATACAGATATATGGTTCCCAAAAACTTCTTTGACCACCAATTGTTCAAACTTTAAATAGTTGGAATCAAACAACACTTGTTTGTGACAATAAATTCAATTGTAATGTATTTGTAGAATAAAAAATGTAATAACATGAAAATATCTTTCCAGTATATGCCATTTTCACATGCTGAATCTAAATATTTATGAAGATACTTATGTTTAAAATTTCAAAAGTTTGACTACACACATTCTAGTTAGACAATACTTATCTAGTATTTACTTTGAGACAACATCGTGAAGTGTATTATTGTGTTTGTTTTTATTGCAGTGGCATGCTTGGCAATATGAAGAAGATCATTCTACTCATGGTACTTCATTACATTTGACTTTCATGTGCAACTGTTAAATTCATCACTCTAAATTTTCTCCGTAACTCTTTCTAGCACTGTGCAAATATGGCCCAAGAGTTGTTGTTCGTTGCATAAAACCAATTAACAAGGGAGATGAAGTTTGCATAACATACATTGATATTCTCCAGACCAGGGTACTATTTCTTGAATTTTTCTGAACCCATATTTGTATGTTTTCCCTGACACATTAAGTCAGTATATCCATGATATTATAGATCTCCATATATATGTTTCCAAGAATCTAATCAAGGTTTACTTGTGCAGTTCATTGTAGTGTGTGCTACTTGAGTTACTGTCACGCCCAGTATTTAATGTTTACATGACCGATATATCATATTTGCCCTTAATTTTAGAATTTTGGACTGTAATTTAGTACAAAATTATCAAAGGACATAACAGTCTCACTCAGTTTTGGTATTTTTGTTTCTTTTGAGCAGCTGTTGTTTGTTGATACATGATACAGTGCCCTGATTAGTAGTGTATTGCTTGTTTGCTTATGCAAAAAATTATCTTTACTCACACGATTACACCTACTGTATTCTGCAAGTTACACACCAACGTCTAGTGCATAGCTACGCAACTTGATAAAATTGTCAACTTGTTTAGAGAACTTTGGTTTCCCTGCTTTTTAGCAGAGGAAAGCAAAATGTTGACTAGCCCCTGTTAAGTAATCTGCTGCTCTCCTCTGTACGCGCGGTAGGGGCAGGCCCCGAAAGGGCTCCCCTGTTGCTGCACTGTAGCCGCTGCAGGGGCAGGCGCCGAAAGGCTCCCCTGCCGCACTGTAGCCACAGCAGGGGCAGGCGCCAAAGTCAGCCCTGCTGTCACATCTAGTCAGTGTAGCAGCATGACAGCCTGACATATCTGTGTACTAGGATTAGATAGGTAGAGTTGTATATATAGCTTTCCACTGCAACTCAGTAAAGTGAGCGAGTTTATTTTTGCCATCTTCTCTGCAGAGCTCCGGCCAACGCTGGTGCTTGTACTGTGTGTGTGCGCTCTGTTCTCCCTCTCTTCTACCTCTAGCCATAGTGTGTAGTCGGCAACGCCGGTGAGCGGTCGGCTCACCCGTGTGGAAGATCCAGGGGGCCAACAAGTGGTATTGGAGCCGTACAAGCGCCGTCGCCGGACAAACCGCTGGCGATGATGGACGGTTTGGAGATGGGCGACAGCAGCGGCGCTGCTGTGGCTGCCTAGCCACGATAGGAGGTCGTCGTGCGCACGGTGCGGGAGGTCAGCGACACCAGTTGGCCGACGCTGACTCGCACCAACTATGGCGAGTGGACGGTGACCATGAAGGTCAAGCTCAGAGCCCGACGGCTCTGGAATGCTATTGACAAGGGCACCAACAACGAAGAAGACGACATGTCAGCGTTGGAGGCTATCCTCGCTGCTGTGCCAGCGGAGTACAGGGAGCCGTTGGGGGCGAAGAACTCTGCTAAGGAGGCGTGAGAGGCCATTGCAGCGATGCGCGTCGGCTCCAACGGCGCAAAGGTGACGGCCCAGCTGTTGAAGCAGGACTACGTCACCCTCAAGTTCAAGGATGGTGAGTCGGTGGAGGACTTCTCCCTCCGTCTGCAGTCACTCATCAGCAAGCTGAGGAGTCATGGCGTCACCATCGACGAAGAAGAGGCGGTCTCCAAGTACCTCCACTCCGTGCTGGTGAATTACATCCAGATCGCTCTCTCCATAGAGACGATGCTGGACTTGTCCACCCTCACCATTGAGGATGTGACAGGCCGTCTGCGAACAGTGGACGAGCGCATGGAGTAGGCCACAGCAACGACGGACAACGGCAAGCTGCTGCTGACAGAGGAGTGGGCTGCCTGGATGAAGAAGTCTGGGGAAGCCTCCTCCAGCCGCGGTGACTATGGCAAGGGCGCGGCAAGGCTTCTTCGGAGAAGAAGAAGAAGGTCGACCCCAACGCCTGCCGGCGCTGTGGGAAGACGGGCCATTGGGCAAAGGAGTGCCCAAATCGCAAGCAGAAGATGGTTGAGGCTCATTTAGCGCAGGCTGATGAGGATGATGAGGCCACTCTCCTGATGGCGACGTTTTGTGCACTGCACGACGTTAAGGCGAAGGAGAAGGGAGAGGTGATGGCGGTGGAAGGGCGCGGCAAGGCTCTGAAGGCTGTCAACCTCGACGAACCGCGCGCCCAAGTCCACCTCAGACGTGTGGGCATCGAGCAGGAGCAGCAGTGGTACCTGGACTCCGGCGCCAGCAACTACATGACGGGCTCCAAGAAAGCCTTCTACGAGCTCGACAGTAACGTGACCGACACGGTGAAATTTGGTGACGGCTCAAGGGTGGCGATCCGAGGACGCAACACCATCATCTTCAGGTGCCAGAACGGTGAGCACCGCGCGCTGACGGATGTGTACTACATCCCGCAGCTGTGTCCAAGCATCGTCAGCATCGGGCAGCTGGACGAGCGCGGATGCGAGGTACTGATCGAGAGCGGGATCCTAAAGATTCGGGATCGGGAGCGGCGTCTTCTCGCGATGGTAAAACGCTCACGTAATCGATTGTACCTGCTTGACTTAAAGGTGGAGCAGTCGGTGTGCCTGGCAGCACGGCACATCGAGGAGCCGCGGCTGTGGCATGCCCGGTTTAACCATCTCAGCTTCAACGCGCTCGGTCGGCTGGAGAAGATGGTCTGAGGGCTGCCCCACATCAAGCACGCAGGCGAGCTGTGTGACAGCTGCCTGGCCGGGAAGCAGAGGAGGCTGCCGTTCCCAAAGGCGGCCAAGTATCGCGCGGCGGACGCTCTCGAGCTCGTCCACGGCGATCTTTGCGGGCCAATCACGCCAGCCACAAACGGTGGTCGACGGTACTTCCTCTTGCTCGTGGCTGATTGCAGTCGCTATATGTGGCTGCAACTCCTGACGAACAAGGACGAGGTGGCGGAGGTGATCAAGAAGTTCAAGGCGCACGCGGAGGTGGAGAGCGGCAAGAAGCTGCGTGTGCTGCGGACTGATCTCGGCAGCGAATTCACTTCAGTGGAGTTCGCTGCGTACTGCGCGGGTCAGGGTGTGGTGCGACACCACACCGCGCCGTACTCGTCACAGCTGAATGGCGTGGTGGAGCGGCGGAACCAGATGGTGGTCGGCATGGCTCGATCCATGATGAAGGCCAAGAGCATGCCGGCAAGGTTCTAAGGTGAGGCGGTGACCACGGCGGTGTTCATCTTCAACCGCGCGCCCACCAAGGCCCTGAAGGGCAAGATGCCGTTCGAAGCTTGGTATGGGCAAAAGCCGAGCGTGTCCTTCCTCCGGACATTCGGCTGCATCGGCCACGCCAGGAAGACTAAGCCGGTCCTCACCAAGTTGGAGGACAGGAGCACACCGATGGTGCTCCTAGGCTACGAGGAAGGTACCAAGCCGTACCGGCTCTACGACCCACGCGGAGGCAAGGTGATGGTCTCGCGCGACGTCGTGTTCAACGAGAAGGCGACCTGGGATTGGGACAGTCCGGGCACGGGGGAAGCTGGCGGCTTCACCAGCACTTTCGTCGTCGTCATCCACGGTGGTGGACACGCTGGAGAGGAAGTGTCGACCACTCCGGCAACAGAGCCGAGCACTCCTGGGGCGCTGCCGAGCACTCCAAGAGGGGTGCCGAGCACTCCGAGAGGGGTACCGAGCACTCCGGGAGGGGTGCCAAGCGGTCCTGCAGTGGTGCTGACCACTCCAGGACGGATGTCGAACGCTCCCGTAGCGGAGCTGAGAGGTCTTGCAGTGGTGCCGACTACTCCAAGACTGGTGTCGAGCACTCCTGCAGTGGTGCCAACCACTCCAGGAGTGGTGACGAGCGGTCCAGGAATAGTGCCGAGCACTGCAGCCGGGGTGCCGAGCACTCCAGGTGCTGTGCCGACCACTCCGGCGGAACAGGGGACTTCATCGACGCCGATCGAGTTCGCCTCACCTCCAAGCGACATCACAGAGTTCGTGGATGCTTTCCACGACGGTGAGGAGGTGCGGTTCCGCAGGCTAGACGACATCGTCGGCGGCACAGGGTCCTCAGGCCTAGCGGGTCGGCTGCTTAATGACCCAGAGCTGCTTCTCGTCAGTGCAGAGGAACCACCCACGTTCGCACTGGCCGAGCACGATGCAAATTGGTGACGGGCGATGCTAGAGGAGATGAAGGCGATCGAGAAAAACGAGATTTGGGAGCTCGTCGAGCCACCTCCAGGATGCCGTCCGATCGGCCTGAAGTGGGTGTAGAAGGTCAAGCGGAACGAGCGCGGCGCCATTGTCAAGCACAAGGCGTGCCTCGTTGTCCGAGGCTTTGTCCAGCGCGAGGGCATCGACTTCGAGAAAGTCTTTGCGCTGGTAGCGCGCATGGAGTCTATCCGACTACTGCTGGCTTTGGCAGCAGCGAAGGACTGGCGCGTCCATCATCTGGACGTAAAATCGGCCTTTCTCAACGGTGAGCTGGTGGAGACGGTCTTCGTCAGGCACCCTCCGTGTTTCGTCGTTAAGGAAGCGGAGCACAGGGTGCTCC